TAGAAAGGAAGTCTTAAAAATTTCATGTAATAATAAGAAGAATAAATTGAACTAAAAATTTTTGAAGAGGTCGACGGCCTTTGAACACAATTCCAAATAGCTTATATTGTAAGCGATATTTTGTCAGTAGAGTTAGATTATGTAGTAAAAACTACTGTCCCATTCGAATTGCAATTGAAATTATGATAACCTTAGCTAAGTTTAAGGTTTCAACCCTAGCTATCTGAGATTTGCGAGGGAAGTGAATGCGTGAAGTGCATTGAAACACAAGCTCAGTTTTTAGACCAACTCTATTTCTTCCTTACATTGATACACCCCACATAACTAATATATAATCTACCCAACACTAGCGTTGTCTCAGAATAAGTCGTATCTGTCGCCCAGAGCTTGGCTTTCATTCGTTCCAAAGTCTACCGCAGATTGTCTGAATGCTGCCTGCACTAATCCATATCTTCGTCCAGCGTAAAGGCCAACTGCGACCAACAGCATCAGAAACAATTTGGAAAAAGTCAATATAGCGTGAGTTTTTCTTATGTCTGCCATGTTCAAACAGGCTCACGACTATTGTACTACCAAAAGGGATGGCCAGTCACATTCCATAGAGTCATTGCAGTGCTCGCATCTCAATCTTATTTATTCTACTTTAATTTTTCTCTTTCAAGTCTTTCTTACATATCTCTCGCTAAAATGTCAATTGTAAAGTTATAAAGCTTCAAGTTATCTTGTAAGTATCTTCTATTAATTAAATTTACAATAAAATTGTTTCCTTTCAACTAAAAGCCACAAAACAATCTAATTCAAGTTGGATCCATTAAGGACGTCGGCATCTACGTTGTTATTTTTATCGATTGCGTTCAATTTTATCGGGCACTTTAATTATTTGTAATGGATTTTAATTAGTTAATTAATTAATTTAGTTGTTCCGAAATAGGGAGTAAAGGCCGGTGAGCCGGTATCTTTGATGCCGGCAGGCTTGTCTTTTGAATTGTTTAAAGCATGTCATTAGATATTATTTGTATATTAATTGTTTAATTAAACAATTACGCATTTACGAAAATATATTGTATGGCATTTTTAGGCAACGAATGTAACACAAGACGATGCACGTATGGCAGAATATGGTAGTTGTTGCTAGTATAACTTTCTAAAAATGTAGAATATATTAGGTACTTCAGTAAGGTAAGTACGTCTACTAAATATGCTTCGACTCCATAATTCAATGAAAACTTAACAACGTAAATGTTTTCATCTCTGCGGTTATAGAATCTTTGTGTTTTTATTTTGGAATAAATAATAATTTAAGTAAATTATTTAAAAAAAACCGTTTATATAAACGACACTTAAGTAATTAAAGAAGTCCCATATAAATAAATTATATTTATAAGTATAATTACTATACGATTGACAAAAATATATTGTACCAGCTACATGTTTAAAATTTTGAAGTTAGGCAAAATCCTTAACAAAAATATTATTAATATTAATTTAAGTTTAAATAAAGTATTATTTATAATAATATAACATTTCGTGCCAAAAATATCGTATCGATTTATATAGGCACTTTAACGTAGCAAGCAAACAGGAGAGGAACTGAGTAATTTAGTAATTGTATCCACTAACAACGAATTAAATAGTAATCAATAGAACTGGGGCCCTCGGGCACGAACACATTGTGTCATTTGCACGATGCGATCCGACCGCGATACGATCGAAATTATAGAACGTTTCCTTACCTGTGAATTTCCTTAATACAAATGGTTAATATAATATTTGCGATTCTAATTATATACAGGGTTTAATTATATACAGCTTGTGTATAAGTGTTTCGTAATGTAACAATTAAGAAATTACTTATCGTAAATCCTTCAGGCTGTATCGAAAGTACTTTAACTTAAAAAAAATGACATAACTTGTTCAAAATAAATCGAGAAACATTCAAAATTTTGACATTAATCACTCCCTTTTTTTACTTTTCGTATTAGATATCTAATACGAGAAAGGTTTTAATTTCCTTATAGGGTTACTTTATAAGTATACTGATATTTAAGGAAACTGTTATTAATCTAACAAAGTACTAAAACTCTCTTATATGTAAATGTAATCAATATTTATTCCGTGCAGCATGTAATATTGTGGATAAAATTGCATCTACAGTGATGAGATTTTTTCCACTGAATGTAGGAATTAAGTATGGTTTTTTTATTTTTATATCGTAGCCTATGGACGTCTGAAACACCTGGGGCGGCACGTGTGCGTTGTCGACTGATTGAGATATTCAGTGGATATACAGCAGTAACTGTAATTTATTCCTGGTTACATCGCATAAGAGATGTATATATGACATTACTGGAATAGTAGAACAGTAGTAATGTTAAATGTGATGTATCAAACTTTTTTTTCAACAAACTCTACAGAAAATTATTTATCTGTGCTGCACTGAGTATATTATTATAATAATTTAGTGAAATGAGAGGAGAAAAAATTAAATTGTTATCGTTGTCTATGGACACCTGCTGCATCAAGGGTGTGAATCCTGTAAATCCATTCTTCCAAACTAATATTATAAATTTTCTAATTTACTATATCTGTCTTTTAACTTTTACAACTAAACTAAAAAGCTAAAGGATTTGTAACATTGGTTGTAAAATTAGATTGTAACCATGGAGACAGACTATTATCTTAACTCAAAATAAGCAGACGAAATCACGGGTGTGTAAAAAGAAAACAACGTTTAAGCAAATTAACTCTCTATTTATGACATATTTATTATAATGTAATATTTTTGAACAATTTTGAATAGAAATATCGAATACAACGTTTTTTTGTTGATTGGATTTTTAATATTTTAAATTAAAGTATTTCCATACTTAATAATCAAGAAATCGTGGATTGTAAATGCTCCTGATGGATTTGTGGGGCTATTGTTTTAAATGGTACTTACGCTAAAGTTCGGGGCCTAATTTCGCGTGTTTAGGTTTATGTTTGTCTTTGTAGAATAAACTGCGTCAGTACTCGATTACGCAACGATATGTACCTACGGCATACTCTGTAATACCCGTTCTATGTAATTTTATTATAAGCAGGTATTATTAACCTATTCTTCATATAGGTATAAGTTCTAAGAAATAATTATGATATTTACGTATATTGATATTATTATATTTCCATGTAAGATATTAATGATGACCTTAAAGGTTTTTCCATTTCATAGATACTAAGCTTTGGAAAGTAATGGTACTTAATTTATTACCATGGTGAAAAAAATACCGCTCTAAGTTTTTTTTTTTTTTAAGATGATAATGATATTGTGATTTTACCAGCTAGAAAGAAGAATGATAGGGTGTGCAGGCACATTTAATCATTCTTTCTTTCTATTAGTAGTCGAGTCGCTAACTCGTCTTCATAAATGAACTAGGTACAATCCACAATGCTTTTCACAGGGAACCACGTGGAGTTCGACCTATCGAGGTTACATAACAAGCATTATCGCTAACGTTTCAGATATATTTATATTTAAATGTAATACTTAATTAAACCTCACAAATACACTTACGCAGAATAAATGAGCAAAACGAGTTTCGTGACGTAATGTATGCAATTTATAAGGAAAACTAAGAAGGTAATACGAGTTAATAAGGCTGATTAATATAACTATATCTGATTCTTGGTAATTCCTATTAAGATCACGTATCAACATAACCACTATTACCCATGTTGATCTCATTTTAGGTCAACAATTGGTCATTTTTATTCAAATGTCGATAAAAAATATTATGTTCACTAGATGGTCTACATAAAGCAAAAGGGCTAACTAAAATATTTTTGTTTCGTCTCTAACTAGTTACAAAGGTATAAGTTACATTGTAGGTACATTTAATTTTCTGTTGTCTGTGATTACCTCAATGGAAAACAAGTTTGATGATATGTATATTTTCTTATTATATATGTAATTTGTTTAATTCTGTCTCACTCGATGGTAATGATGATGATGATAACATCTGAGATGGTAAACAAAATTTGTCAAAATTTTAAGAACAGTAGAAAGAAAATACCGTTGGCTAACGGCTAGTAATAGTCAATGCAATTTATTTAACCCTTGGCTTATAAGTATTATCAGTAAATAATTATTACAGGTTAGTCACAAATTATAAACTCTAATGTTACGGACATAGGCTTCCAATAGCAATGTCTGTATCAATTACTATAAAAACTGGTTCATTGATAAATGCATATACAAAATTAAATCTACAATATTGGCACGTAGCACTACTCAGTAATGTTGGTAAGATTAAGTAGTGGCCGCTCTTCTACGTCGAATGTATGCAAGCCTACTTTACTTTAATCAACTTCTCTTAGTTCGGCGACGACCGTACCCAACTTTGGAACGCTGTAACCTCCTGTCTCTCCAACTCTTTATAGCATTAGGTTGAATAACTCTACGACACTGTTAGACTTCGTTGGAACTAATGGATCGCCTCTCTGCTTAGAACGGGCAACTTTTATAGATAAGTAAAATGTAGTTAGTGTTGACTCCAAAATAGCGCTTGAGTGTTAGTTTTGCTTCTGTTGCATTACAATAGCAAACGAGTTTAACTTGTCGTTGTTAAATATATATTAGTTTGTTGAATTTTAACAAGGTCCTTTCAGTGTTTCAGATGTTTTATTGTTATATTTTCCAGAGGTATGTAATATTTATAGTCATAAATATACACATTATTAAGCATGTAATTTGTGAATTTAATTATTTTTTCTTTCAATTACTCAATACTTAGATTGAGGCAGACTTTTAAATTTCGTCTTAAATCAGCGAAATTACAAGATAAGAGACATGGTCTCAAAAAAGGCATCACATGATAACGTGTTGTATATAAGCGACAGCTACCATATACCATCAAGTAGGCCGTTAGCTTCTTTGCTACCTAATTCCATAAAAAGTATTGATATCACTGTATATAATTTAAAAAGCTATATACTATTATTATAATGTAATAGGTACTTACTGGGCGAATCTGCAAGTAAATCCCCGTCCTCATGCGTTGGCGACTTTACCGAACTCGGTGACATTTTGATGGGAGCGTGTGGTGACGCCATTGGTCCTGAGCTCGCGCTGCCGGCGCTGCTCGCAGGACCCGCGTTCGAACTGCCATGCGACGTCGTAATCGTAATCTCGCCATTCGACGCAGCAAGCCTGCACAGTAATTTGTTACATTAATTTATATAATACTAGCTACCAGCCCCGGCTTTGCGGGTACATGTATTATACATACCTTCCTCTTAAATCACTCTTGTATTAAAATCCGTTGCGTAGTTTAAAAGTTCTAAGCGACCTGACAGCGGAAGAGACTTCGTTTTATACTATTTAAAGATACATAAAACTTACTATTGTCGTTTGATTTATCGTAAATAGATGTGTGAGTGCGTGTTCTACAGAACACACTATACAACCAGACGAAGTCACAGGAATCACTAGTTAAATGATGCTTGAATATAATTAGTGGAAGAGTTCGACACTAAAAGCGATTGCGAATGATACTATTTACTATCCATTCAGTGAGGTCAATCGAGATTATTGAGAAATACAAAAAATCAATTTTTTTATAAAATCCATTAATTTTATTTATTGTTTGTCTCTCGGTGTTCCAGCGGTTTAGATCCCCAGGTAACATCCGATGGTTATTTTTTGTAAATACACCTGTTTACAAAAAAGATATCTAAGTACTCTATCAGTTATCTTGTACCCGTAATATAAGGTCTGCTAAGCTTTTGATTAAATGGCGCTGTGTGATTTGTCCAGGGTTATTATTATATTAGTAGTACTTACGTTTAAAAATATATTACAGTTAGAACCTATACACAAAGCATTGTCTACATATTATATAGATAGAGAGATGATATGCTAGTTGTAACTTGTTCCGCTTTTTGCCGTTTAACAACAATAGTGTTGCACTTAAAGCGGCTGCAGCGCTGTACAAATGAGGTGCGCGGTTCATTAAGCGCACCGCTGCATTAGCGGTAATTGCCAGCTAATTAGGGTCTCATCCGTTGCAGCGACTCATACATACATACGCATACACATTTAATATAACACGCTGACACTTGATGTTATATGAGTGATGTTACTTATTGAAGAGTTCTTGAATTAGTGACTTATTGTCACAAATAAAAAAGTATGCAAATATGTTATTATTGTTAAAGTTTTATGCATTATTCAGAAACGGCTTCGCCGATTTGGTTGCGATTTTCACTGATATATTGTGATAGGGTTAACTTAAAATTTATTATTTGTCTTATTCCAATTGAAACAAATAATAAAGTTATAATCTATTATTGTTTTAATCAAAACTGGACACACCAAAAAACTTTGGGAGTCTATATTTTGTTATGTCAATGGAATTGTAAGTCATCTGATGGTAAGTTTATGTATCAATCATCTAGTACCCATAGCATAAACTCAGCTTAGCTTGGGGATATTCCAGAATTATTATTATTATTATATGCTATAAGAGTAAATTTAAATATAACTTTAATGTTTTTAACTATTACTTATAATAAACAGAAAGTGTCACATGGATTCATTAAATATAAAACTGAAAAATGACTAGATGGTTAAGTTAATAAATATCCACATGATATTAATTTATATGTAAATTCCATATAATAAGAGTAGTGCATGGTTTATGAGTGCATGCCCGGTTATTTAGTGTTCATATAATGACAAGAAAAACAAGGGTGCACACATACGCATTGGTGCCTATGTGTGTGTGTACACACACCAAGTAGCAGTACATTAATTGTTCCTTTAATTTATTAGCATGTTAGTACAGGCGACGACGTAACTGTGTCGCAAATTATTTATTTACCTAGAATATTTTACGTTGAATTACTCCCTCACAAATTTAATTTAGTTGTGCAACGCTGTGGTTACCTGTACATCGAGAATGGGCCTTTGGATAATTATTTTGAATATTATAATGGTTTCGGGGCTTTAATTACTACTTACTGCCTTATTTTCTTGTCATTCCAGTTACCTTCAGTTAAGGCGACGAGCAACTGCGAAAGGTATTTCTTTGAAGAAAGTGCATAATTAAAAATACTGCCACTGCAGATTTAACATTTAAAACCATACTAATATTATAATTTACCTTTAAATCCAAACTACGATAGCATGTTTCCAATGACTTTTGTAATTAAAAAAACAACAATAATTGACTGCAAATTGTCAAAATGAACAAACAAAGTTGATTTGTATTTGTTTTTAGCATGTATGTAGGAATTTATATATAAATATTATGTGTCTTTTTGTATATTATGTTTTTGCATGTAAGTATAGGATATTTTTAATTTATTTATATTTTCTTATTTATAATTATTATTTCTTTAATTATTCACTAAAATGCGCCGCCCGCTAATCTTTGTTTGCCCTATGGTTGTCTTTTTCCTTAAGTTGGAAAATCCGGCATATACACTATTATTTCTATATTTGTGTATTAAAGCTAAATAATTGCGAAAATGTGTACCTCTTCACTTCACTATATGGCTGAATGAAGATCGATGAAATTTATCGTGAAGGTGAATTGAACCGCGAGAGTGGACATAGACTATCTCTTATTTTAAAAAGGAGAAGTGGAAGAAAACAATAGAAATTTTGGTTGTTTAAAATATGTTAATGTGCTTCATTTATAGCAATTACTATCCTAATAATGCAAAAATTTCGACACAGTTATTCTAATGATCTATTGAAATATTCAGTTAACATAAATTTCTACGTAGCGCATTTTTTTAAATTTCATAACCAAAACTTAATAGTACAATCAACATAAATAATTATAGCTACAAATAACAGTTATTCCACTATATCTGTCATCAAATATCAATAAATCTAATCACATTTTTATCGATCATAATAATTGCTAAATGTTGAATAGAAACGGTACACTACTTTTAGGTCATTCGGACTCTTAAATAATAATTATATGAACATAAAATGCAACGGGCTTACATTGGAATGGAGAATAATGTCCGCCCAGAGGTACGATTAATAAAAGAAGGGTCGCTTTTTATTGAAGTCAATAATTGGTTTTAAAGGAGACTTATAAAAAAATTTGACAGGCCGTGTTTTGCAACTGTGTTGTTGTTATTGGAACAATTAGGATTTCAATAAGCATTACATTGTTGCATTGTAGATATCATGCAGTCAGATCATTTTTGTCTTTCTTATTCTTATTAACAGTGTTTGCGGCGTTATTCGAATGACGTAAAATGTATGTATTAATATTATTGATCTATTTGTGTTCCATTTTAATTAAAATCCGTCCCCTAGTTTTTTCCTGACAAAATAGCAGACATTACTATTACTAAGAAATAAACTTATTACTAAGAAAATTTGTCACGAATTTTAATAATCTACATTGATTTTTGTAAAACATTATTATTGCTCGTTGCGGAGTCTATATTTACTGTATTATAAATTATTGTATTCTGAACTTAACTATGCTAGATGCAAAGTTTTTGAACATATCGTCCAATAGAATAATTTCATATTGTAGAGAAAAAATTAAATAACATTATTATAGCAAACATTTCGTTGTGGATTTTAGCTGCTTTAGACAAACGACTTTTATATCTATTCTAAAAAATATATTTATTTCGATGATAAAATAATATTATATCGTAGAGCGGACATTAATTGTGTTTCCATAATTTCATTATAAATTTTAGCTGCTTGTAGAATAAATTGTATGTGGGCGAACCCGCGACAGAAGTGGGTACAGCAATAAATTGTGATAAAGTCGTGTATTAGCATAAATGTGTGTGTTTTGTTAAGTGCGATTTTGTCGAGATAAGACACCACTCCGGTTGGTTCGTCAAAGATGTATGTTAACACGGCTCGAAGAAGTCGGTGAAAAAATGAACAGAGTCATGTGTAGAATCCACGTGTTCATTTTGTGATACACTAGCGTTATGTTATTCAGGGATAATGTAAAATTCTAATTGTGAAAGAATTTTTAAAATCAGTCTCATATTTTTGAGGTTATATAGTACAAATATTTGATCTTTATAATATTAGTGTAGATGTACTTAATTATAATGAATTTAGTGTGCCACGTTTGTATGGTAATAATTATAAACATTAAAGAAAATCTTATTTTAAGTAGAAGATTAAAAGTAACTAAACTTATTGTACTTATTATTGAATAAATTGTCATACTACGAAGATAACCAACTATTGTCAAATTAAGCTTTGAGACATACATCAATTTCGTTGAAATAGCAATATCTTTATCTATCTATTTTAGTACGATATTGAAATTTAAAAAAAGGACCTTTAAAAACCATGTATATTAAGATAAATTATATACATAATATTTCACTATTCCGTTCTCATGTTCGGTAACTCGAATATTTATTAAATTTATATATTAAGAAACGAGACTCCACGACACTTTTGTTCTATAATTATGTTGCCTCAAAGGCATCACATAAATAAGTGCGCGCTACAATTAGTTATTTCCTTGTTGTTTGAAAAGATAATATTACTCTATACGTACCTACTATTAAAACGTAAGAATTTATATATTGATATGATTTATATTTATTACTTATTTGTACGTATAATATTAAACAGTTTTATTATTAATTCTCGATAATATATTAATTTCTTGTTTTATTTGGGTACCTTTGCATACCTATTTCAGCTACCTGGCTGCATGCTTTATAAGCTGTGGTTTGGTTGAAGGGTGAGATAAGGCAGTGATGTTATAGTGTAAGATATCTTAGTATGTCCGGACGAATCTTCTTTTGGACTATACATGATATCGGTAGTGCTGTTTATGTAAGGATATGGTTGAGAATTACCGGTCGCCAGTTTGATTGCCATTTTAATAATTACATAAAATAGACACTAATTCCCATGCATTTGTGCTCTATTATGTATTTGTGACATATTGACATTATCAACTATTTGTTATACTAGTGGTCGCCTGTAATCAAAATTCGACCATAATCGTTTTAATATTCTGAAAGACTATAGACAAATAATATTAAAGACCAACAATATTAATAAACAAACACTAAAATTTACGAAATCTCAATTTGACCATAAACTTTAACAACAAAAGAGTATATGCATATGTGTGTCAAATTACATGGTAGTGTGTATAATGTTTTTTGACTGATTTAACGTTTTGT